AAGAGTGTCAAGACAAAGGTGGGCCAGCAGATGGGAAGGAGGTTAAGGCACTGGACTCCCACATTGCTAACTACGCAGTTTGAGTCCCAGACCCTGAAGGTTGAAAAACATACTAGGTGCATGTGTGTGCATGCCCAAAATCCCAAAAGGATGATGAAGAAGGGATTCATAGCAAGGCCAACTCCCCCAGGGGTGATTTCTCACTTTCCCTCTCTCTCTGTCTCTCAGCAAACGCACACACCTTATAGCAGAAAGCAAACAAAAAAGGCTCTTAATGATAGAGAATTACGTCTATAGTAAAGACTTCACAGTTAAAATATCTGCAGCAAGTGACATAGTATGCACAAAATAAAAATTACAGGAAACAGGAGAAAAAGGCAGAAGCTTATTTGTAATAGATTTCAATTCACTTCTTTCAGTCTAGGACAGATCAAATATTCTCTCCCTCAATTTTTTTTCCTTTCTTTTCCCTTTTCTTTTTCTTTTTCTTTTCTTTTTTTTTTTTTTTTTTTTTTTGGGGAGGTTTTTTTTTTAGGGGCGGTAAGACAGAGAGAGACAGAGAGACAGAAAGCGAGAAATCACCCCCTGGGGGGATAGCCACACGACAATCCCTTCTCCTCCATTCTCCTCTCAGGATCTTGGGCATGCACACATATGCACCCAGTGTGAGTTTAAGCCACCGGGTCTGGTCAAACTGCAGTCTACTACATGGGAGTCCAGCAACATAGCCATTACACTAACTGTTGGTCCCTCTCTCCCTCAATTTTATAGATCAATATATGCACCAAGGATTGAGCATGAACTTTTAAATTTACCTGTTGAAAGTACTTACACAGATCACATAGTACATATAGTATAGTGCACATAGAAAACAATCTCAACAAATTCCTAAATAGATCACCATCCAGTATAACCCCAAATTCATAAAGTTAGAGAACAAAACAAACAAAAAACTCTAAGCACCTGGATATTTAAAAATTCTGTCTTTGGGGCCAGCAGGTGGCATGGTGGTAGTTAAGGCATTGAACTCCCACACGGCCAACCATGGTTCAAGTTCCAGACCTGGCGGCTTGAAAACCACACTGGGCGCATATGCATGCATGCCCAAAATCTCAGACAAAGAATGGAGGAAAAGGGATTGTGGCATGGCCATCCACCCTGGGGGGAGAGGGTGATTTCTCACTTTCCCTCTCTTGCTCTCTCTCTCTCTCTCTCTCTGATGAGCATGTGTGCCCTATAGCAAAAACCTAAAAATAAATAAATAATTTTTTAAAAACTGTCTTTAATAAAACTCTTAATTCAAAAAGAAAATCTAAATCAGAACAGCAGACTAAGTTGAAGATAGCAATAAGAAAAACACTACATAAAAAAATTGAACTGTGGCAGGCTTCTTGGTAATGACTATCAAGACTATAAATATTTTTTGTTTTCTTTTGGCCATAGGGCATGTGCTCTCACTGGAGAGAGACAAAGAGAGGGAAAGTGAGAAATCACCCGCCAGGGGCACAGCCATGCCACAATCTCTTCTTCTGCACTGTTTTGGGATCTTAGACACACATGTGCACATGTGCCTAGCATGAGTTTCAAGCCACCGAATCCTGGACTTGAACCGTAATAGGCCAAGTGGGAATCCAGCACTGCGATCAGCATGCCACTTGCTGGCCCCTAACCCCGTCTTTTGTTTGTTTTAGAGAAATTTTTGCTATAGGGTGCATGTGCTCACCAGAGAGACAGAAAGTGAGAAATCACCTCCTGGGGGGGGGGGGGGTGGGGGGGGGGG